TCGGATTGCCAGGCTGGGGAGCAATGAGGGGCCAATAACCTTCATGGCTCGACGCTGGACCAGGTCCAGCTGATGGAGGTGACAATGTGCCGCACTTGCCCAGACGAGAGGGGCGTACTCCATTATAGGCCGTACAAATCCTTTGTACACAGTTAGGCGCCCTGCACTGTCCAGGATCCGAGATGCCTTTCGGAGCAGGCCGAGTCGCTGGTTGGCTCTAACGGCAAGGGAACGGATGTGGGCCCGGAAGGAGAGAGTACTGTCAAATAACACTCCTAGCAGCTTGAGCTGAGGGCTCTCAGGCACCTGCATGCCATCAAATGTGAGCTGTGGGACATCCAGGGATGGTCTGTGGCGGTCAAGGAGTATTGCCTGAGATTTTGATGGCTCGAACGTATCTTCCATTGGGCACCCCAAGTCTGAAGGCGGTCAATAGATGCTTGGAGGCTATTGCAAGCAGCAGCGATGGTATCTGGGTTTCTGATTAGGGCATAGAGTGTTGTATCGTCCGCATAGACAGCTAGACTGGAGCCTGGGGCTAAACACTGTTCTGCATCGTTTACATATAACAGGAAAAGAGTGGGACCTAGGAGGCTACCCTGGGGCACTCCAGCCTTGATCGGGAACAGTGGGGAGGACTGACCGCCAACAACTACAGTCAGTTTTCGGTCATGGAGATACGACCTTAGCCAAGCCAGGAGTTGGCCGTGGATGCCACATTGCTGTGCCTTCGCAAGGACACCTGGGTGGGAAACCTTGTCGAATGCCCCGGCAATATCAACTGCCAGGGCATGCACAAGACCGCCGCCAGCCAGGGTAGTGGCCCAGGAATGCTGGAGAGCCGTCAGTAGGTCACTTGTGCCCAGTCCACGTCGGAAGCCAAACTGGGACGAGGAGAAGAGTTGATGGGTTTCCAGGTGGTTCACAAGCTGCCGATTGATGATACCTTCCATGATCTTAGAGATGATCGTCAGGAGAGATATAGGCCGGTAGTTCTTCATCATGGATTTGGGTCCTTTCTTGTGCACTGGAACGACACGGGCAATTTTCCATGATTGGGGCTGGACTCCATTTGCAAAACACAGGCGAAACAATCTAGCCAGCGGATGTGCTAGTTCAGCTGCACACTCCTTGAGTACTCGTCCTGGGATCTCATCTGAACCAGTGGATTTGGATGTGTTGAGACGCTTCAGGCACTGTTGGACTTCAGAGACGCGGACGCGGATGCGCTGCAGGCCCGGAGTGGTAGTGCGGGGTGTTGCTGGTAACTCAGCATTGTCGATGTCATTATCCCCAAGGCTACATTTATCAGCAAAGAATCTAGCAAGGCACTCGCTCTTGGCTTTCGATGTACTGTGCTCGTGCCCGTCAGCATCAGTGAGTGTTGGCACGTCTGTAGTCCTACCCAGACCGGCGGCGCGCTTGACATTCCTCCACCAGTCCTTGTCTCTCATGGAACCACGTGTGAGACGCTCTCGGACTGTCTGCTCTTCAGCTTGTTGTGCACGATGTTGGGTTGTAATAGATTGAGTGACAGTTGTCATGAACGATTGCTTCAGGCATTCGCTGGGCCCCTGGTGACGCCAGACCTTCCACGCTTTCTCTTTGGCACGTTGAGCCTCAGTGCATTCTGGTGTCCACCAGCTCGGATCGGACGGCCTTGTTTCCAGCATCTTGTGGGGAATAAACTGCAGCATCCCAGACACGATGTGCCTAGTAACAAGGCTGCATGCTTCCTCTGGGTCCTCCGGAAACTCAGCTGCCCAGGCAATGCGACGGTAGTGGGCACGCAGTCTGTTCCAGTCGGCTTGGCCATATCGCCACACACGCCTCCGTGTGCTGGGCTCATTTCCTAGCGGGGCTTGAGCGAGCACAGCGTGGACAACACAATGGTCTGACCTTCCTATCGGCGGCGAGATATCGGTGGTCACAGTACCAGTGAAGTCAGAGAGCACTAAGTCCAGGGTGTTGAGACCTCGGGTTGGTTCTTGGACATGCTGCATGAGGCTGTGGGCAGCGCTTAGTTCCTCCATGTACTCCCCTGCACCGGTGGTCTTAGAGCTGCCGAGCCAAGCCGTGTTGTGGACATTGAAGTCTCCGACCAGCGTCTGACAACATCTTTATACTCTCGCCTTGCTACTACATGTACCGGTACAGTCAAACCTCGTTAGGACGAACTTCAAGGGACTGAACACATTTGTTTGTCTTATCGGGAGTTCTTCTTATCCAGATCTGACAAAAAATCGATATGCATATCATATGGATTGTATTTACGTGAAGGTGCATGCTGTGGTACATGGGAAGCATGTTATTCTTAGCATAAGCCAGAATCAGGTAAGTACAATGACAAAGTGCAATGAATCACGACTGTGTCGAAAGTTCGTACAACGCACTGATTATTTTGTTCAAAACACGCTTGAAAACAATTTGCACTGTACGTACAATATGACCTCGACTATTGAAAAAAAGAAGAAAAAAAGGCAGCCAGCGCACGCGCACGCTCGTGGACCGAAAGTTCGTACTACATGTACAAGTACATGTACATGTACATGACCACACTGACTTTGTTCAAATCACACTTGAAAATAGTTCGTCTTCGCGAAAGTTCGCTACACAGAAGAATCTAGAAGTTCGTCTTAAACGAATAATTTTGACTTGAATTGATGCCTGGCCAACCATAGGATTGGCCTTAGTTCGTACTAATGGAAAGTTCGCCTTATACTAATGGAAAGTTCGCACGCTATGTAGTATGTATTAGTTATACAATCATGTACTCATAGCTCACTCGAATCTCGTCTCACCTTATTATTAATTTTTTATTGTTTTCCGCTGTATTCATAAGCTTACAAATCCTCTTCTTCTCTTGACTTTCTTTGCTCGCTGCTAACACTAGATAATGGAAAGTTCTCTATTTCTTTCCTTGGCGATGATAGGTGGAATTCCTTGACTGTCTCGTGTCGTCAATTATAATTAAAATTTTAGTCGAGCATCTACTGACGCTGTAAAGTGAGAAACTTTCGCTAGAGATTAAATTTCGGTATTTTCGCGACCATAAATCGCCGCAAACCTCTCCGTACATTGATGATGATTGGATGCAAGATCCGGCTGCAGAGAAAGAATCGCAAAAGTTAGTGAACCAGCCCAATTTATGAAAACGCTAAATTTGCGCGCCGCGAAAGTTTGTCGCTTTACAGTACATCATAATACTACAATGTACATTTATCCGCTTTTGTAACGCTCTACATGTAGCTCTAGCTCTGTAAAGGGCACTTAGGCCACCCTTTGTTAATTCATTGTTTAACGTCCTTTTTTTCGCGAAAAGATACGCGGGAGGGCGGAAAAAAAACAAAAGCCCATTCCAAAAACTGGAAACCACAATCAAACATATTGACCAGTAAAGCATGTGATATATACAATATTTCTGGGTCTAACGGCACTTGCAGGCATAGAACAACACTCTTTGATGGTACATTGGAGCACATGCCGGATGAATCCAACAAAACAGGTACATAGCATGGAGTTAGCATGTCATGAATTCATTACATCTGGATTTTTACTAGGGCACACACCGTACGATATTTAAAAGCCAACAAAAAAAAGAAAAAGAACACAAGACAAAGGCATGCCCGGGAGGCAAGATTATAAGTTTAAGGTCATGATCGGCACACTGTGAAACTACACAATCATGTATTTACAACTTCGCATATTATTGGTACTACTACTTTCTTAGAAGTTGCGACTTCGGCGGTAATGTCATGAAGTTGGTTGCTCCAACGAGGAGCACACGCTTCTTGCCGAACTTGACACTTGACTGACTCACGACTGCCATCCGGAGCACACCAGGAGCACGTCGCACCTTCCGCTCGGCAAACCTGAAAGAAAGCACCACTCCCTGCTCAATACACAGTGTTTCGGGGAATTCACCCCTCATCAAGTGTCAAGTTCGGCAAGAAGCGTGTGCTCCTCGTTGGAGCAACCAACTTCAATACTACTTTCTTGTTTTTTTTTCGGTCGGAGGCAAAAAGGTACGCGGGCGCGGACGTTAAACAACGAAAAAAGAAAGGGTGGCCTTAGGGTTGGTTCCCTGTAACAAGGCGGCAACGTCTGTAGAGCCTTCCCTATCAAAATAATAAATTCTACCACTAACGGAGCGCAATCCTCAGACACAACGGATGGCAGTCTGACTGTCACCTGGCAAGAGAAAATGCCAGATAGCACTGCAGCCAAGCCACAACCTGGCTATTATAGGCAGCGCTGCGCTTGGTGACCAAGCCGTGCGCCAGCCTCTTTGTTAGTCTTGATGGCCACAGCTGCTTCTGCGACCATGCCACCATAGAACACCAACGGTATGAAGGAGCCATGCTCGACTTCGTTGACACGTTCACCGCTTTTTCTCGCCTTCGAACTTTCCGTAGAGGGAGAGGAGGGACTTTGCACGATAGCTTGACGCTTGGGGATAAAACACCCTTGTGTCGAAGAATGCGTTGCGGCCATCGGTCCAGAATCCCTTCACCCGCGCGCGGGTCCGCACGGACATCAGGATCACTGTTGACTGATCGATATCGCGATGCCGATGGTGAAATGTTTCGCCGGATACTGGATAGGGCTGCTCCGCCTCCACTGACCTGTACTCGTACTACAAAAGCCTTTGGCTCCAGGCCAGCTCCACATCATGATGGAGCTTCTTGCACAACGCGATGAAGTCACATGTCTGTAATGTGGATGAACCTGATCGGCTGATGTCTTGCATAGTGTACGTTCTCGCGGGGGCTCCCCCCGAGGGAGTCGTTTCAGCCACATGAACCAGCCGTACAGGGAGGAGCTCCCCCCGGAGATGACACAGCACCGCCTTTTGTGCAGTGTTAGTTGCGTGGGACCCCGCAACCCTGAACATGTCGCGCGGGCTGCGGGCCCAGTGCGGGGACTACTGCGCATGCGGCGCACGCGCACATACTTGGTCTTGTTCGGGCCTGACACAGACAGTTGGCATGTTTTTTTTGGTTTCCGTCTGCTCATTTTCCTCTCTTCAACTGCAATCGTTTGGCATAAGAATTACCCGCAGAAGATGATGAGCACGATGGCAATGTCACGGCCTGTGTTCCCATCCTTCACTTTGCTGACGGCTGTGATTGGAGTTTTGGCGGCTTGTACGTTGCTTGATGTGCGTGCTGCTACCGGTGACGAGGCCTACGACTACGAGTCGTACAAACAAAGGAAGCAAACTTGCCAAACGGCGTTCCCTGCATTCGGCTTGTCTCTACCCATCTGCAGACGCTATTGTGGATATCTCAGCTCTTGTGATCATGGAGGATATTGCAACCCCGGGGGAGATTGCCTGTGTCCACCCAGATACCGTGGTACACAGTGCAAGACAGATCGCTGTTCTTCAGGAACATGTTACTGTCCCCGCGGTCTGACAGGAAAAGACTGTACGGAACCTGTGGGATGCACGCAGGCATGTTTGAATGGTGGAACCTGCATCAGTGAGACTGACCAATGTCTATGTCGACCAGGATGGACAGGAGGAAACTGTGGCCAGAGTGCGTGCGCGAAGCAGTGTGCAAACGGGGGCTCCTGCGTGGGCACTAATAGCTGCCAATGCCAAGTCGGCTGGGCAGGTGATCAATGCCAGACTAGCCTATGTACGGCAGGGTACTGCCAGAATGGCGGTTCCTGTATAGGTACTCACCTGTGTCGCTGTCGCAAAGGATTTACAGGGTCACGATGCGAGAACAAAGCCCAGACCATGTGTACATCAACAACAACGGGACGTGTCAGCTCTTGGGTTGCACTCAACTCCTCAATGGCTTTGTCACCGGCAGCACTTGCTTGTGTGGAAAGAGGATTCGATCTGATGAATTTCGAAGCATTCACCATGGAGATTCGACCCTGTGTGGAAGACTTACTCATGCTCATGCTTAAGTCGCATAGCTTTGGAAGAAGACTGTCACTGTGGACATCACACATTCATCTACACACGCGCGTCGTTTACCATCACGACGTCCATCAGCATAGAAGTGTGAGTCTTGTACCACCAGAGCATACACTTTCTCCTCACTTGCGCTACGATGTGTTGTGCTCCGGGTTCTGGCAGATCAGCACGGGTCAGGGTTTCTCCATTGCCAGATTGCACAAGGCTGCCCGCAACGTCACACCAGAGCACGGTGAGACGGCATGTCACTCAATTGGCCATTATTTCCCTCACATGAACATCCTAAAGAAAATGCATCATGACTTTAAAAAGGAATTAAACAATATTCTTGGTCACACCATCAGTGGAATGTCCTGGCTTGGAGCACTGTCCTCGACATCTCCCAGCCGCACGGTGCAGCTGCTGAAACATAAAACTACTGAACAGTTGGTGCTAGATGGTTCTTCCTCCGCCACTTCTTCTAACCACTATTCCCTGCTTTGTTTTAAGCTGTGCCTGAATGCGGGAAACTTGAATCCCGAATCGGGTCACTGTGATTGCGGTACTGGCTATACTGGAAAGCATTGTGAAGTCACACTACCCCCACCAGTAACCAGCTGCAAGAATGGGGGTACACTGGATAGTGGGCAATGCACGTGTAGGGGTAAATACAGCGGGCCGCAGTGTCAATATGTGAAGTGTGACTGCGGGACAGGATGCAAGTATCACAGAACTTTTGAGCGTGGTGGCGGAGGCTCTGTAAGTATAAGCGAAAAATGCAAATGTATTGATAACTCGGGCCAGTTCAACCAACCGTGCGATGTGGATGAGTGTAATTTGTCATGTAGCCCCGGACAGGTGTGCAAGGTCATGGAAAGTTTCCAAGATCATGGCGAGAGTACGTCCACGAGAAAATGGCAAAAGTGTGTGCAACGTTAGTGCAGTGTCCCACTTGCTGTTGTTTACTTAATGACAGTACTGACAGACCGCTGTGTGATGTTACTGCTCATCAGGGATATCAGACGTGTATCTGGTTTAGTTGGTGGACTCTAACGCATAACTTGTGCCCCGGAGTTTCCTTGTTTCCATATCTTTTTGTATTTAGTTTCCCTGGCTCACCATCTGAGTACTCCGGACAGGTGTGCAAGGTCATGCTCAGTCTCCAAGATTATGGCGAGAGTAAGGTCACGATTGAATGGCAAGAATGTGTGTAACGTTACTTACTTAGTGCAATGTCTCACTTGCTGTTGGTTACTAAAATTAGTACTGACAGGCCGCCGTGTGATGTTAGTGCTGATCAGGGATATCAGACGTGTATCAGGACTCTGGAGCATCTGAAAGTCGAAACTGACTGCTGGCATGTTGTCCCTAGTGATGTGATGACAAATTCCACCCTTTAAGAAACTCTCAAATTCCAGCAGCAACAAGTGAAGATAATTCCACTACCTTGTGCAGCCCTGGTCAATTGCTGTCCAGTTTGTTCTGTATCGGCCTTTTCTTTCCTTCCATCCCGTTTGCTCTTGTCATTCCTTTTCCTTTGTCTTTCATTGCAAGCTGGGCTTGTGATTCCTTTAAAACTACTTGTAAGTTAGAAGGAAACAGTGCCAGGTTCTGTCAAGATTCTGTGAAATTAAATGAGTTGTGAATTTGCAGTGCCCAGGGAATGAGCACGTGTGCTCACCAATTCTCTTTGAGTTATGAAGCTGCAGGACGCCTCCATTTCCCTGAATATAGTCGCACCTTTTTACACTAAACTTCAGGGCCAACAAAGGGGGTGTGACTTACAATCGAGCATGATACACTACTGCTGAAGTGAATGTATTGAAACGATATGACATGGACCTGAAAATAGGGATGCGACTTACAATTGAACAATCGGGGGGAAATACGGTAGTAATAGTAGTAGTAGAATTTATTATTTTGATAGGGAAGGCCCTACAGACGTTGCTGTCTTGTTACAGGGAACCCTAAGTGCTCTTTACAGAGCGAAACAAAAACGGATAGATGCTCAACCTGACGACACGAGACAGGCAGAGAATTCCACCTATCAGCGCCAAGGAAAGAAATGGAGAACATGCCATATCTAGTGGTAGCAGCGGGCAAAGAAAGTGAAGAGAATGATTGCCCTCTAGTGCGCCTCTCGGTGCAAGTAGCAGCCGACTGGAGGGTGAACATTGAGGAAAGAAGAGGACTTGTAAGCTGATGAATACAGCGGAAAACAAAAATAAAAAGCCTCAAGTTGAGACGAGATTCGAGGGAGTATAACTTAGCGTGCCGCAAAACAAAGACAGTCGGGGTACGGCGAGGGAGACCAAAAACCTGTTTCATGCTGATATGACTTAAAGTAACAAGGCGAGAGTATAAAGATGGTGTAAGACAGTGAGCATACGAGTTGCTGGCGTATTCAATAGTGGATTGGATGAGGGATAAATAAAATATTCGCTTAGTTGTGTGGTCTACTGTACGGCGGCAGCGGCGGAATGCTCCTATCTTCTTATAAACAGATGTACATAGTACTACATACATGGTTGACTTGATCCTCAAAGGTGAGGTGTTGGTCAATAATGAGGCCAAGATAACGCGCTGTGGCAGAAGGTCGAATATCGACACCACCGCATGCAATGGTAAGATCCGGCGGAAGAGGCAGAGCCTTCTTCCGAAGCACCATGAACTTCGTTTTCTGGGCATTCAAGATGAGACTAATGCTTCCAAGGTACGTATTTAGTCTGTTCAACTCACTTGTCAACTTGTGCGGTACTCTATTTCCCAAGTCTTGTCTAAATCATACCATAACAAAAAATTGAATAGAAGTCAGAGCGGTCGGTTGCAACGCGGGAAGCACTGGCCTGATGATCGGGCAGCGTGAAACTCAGAGTTCCAAGCAACATCTGCACGACGTTGGTGTTAAAGAGCTCTGGACCGGGGTATTGAGAGCTCTGGCACGGGGTATTGAGAGCTCTGGCCCCGGGTATTGAGGCCTGCTTGAGAAGTGCATGCCGCTATTATACCTGTATTGTGCAATTGCAAAGTAAATACTGTACATATTATTAAGTGGAAGGGTAGCTTGGAAATATGGCCATTTTTCGGAGTTGACTTGAACCAGTCAGAACACACTTTTTCCCACTGGCTACTGCATGCCGAGCGTGAATACTGATTCAAACTTCGCCAAAGGCGATAATGGCATTGAATAGGGCATTTCCACATGCAGGCCAAAGGCCTTCTTACCGGGTACCCTATTATGTTTTTGTATGGATGAGCGGAAGTCTGATAGTGTTGAGGAAATACAAACAGAAGCAGGGAGTGAATTCTAGCGATCTGCACCTAAGAAACTCAATGCGTACAAGCAAGAGTACCATCATCTAGATCAGTACGACTCATCTGTTCACGAAGTAACTTGGCTCACAGTGCAGTCTGCCCATCATGGTAAGATAGTGCTGGGTGCTGTATACAGGCCAGGATCCGCCTCAGACACTGATATCTCAACACTTGAGCACCTCGATGGCATCCTGGATAGCGTCAGAAAACACGGCACCCACACCATGCTGGTCGGAGACTTCAATGTCCACAACACAGCTTGGCTCGGCAGCTCTAAGACCACCCGTGCAGGGGAGTACATGGAGGAACTAAGCGCTGCCCACAGCCTCATGCAGCATGTCCAAGAACCAACCCGAGGTCTCAACACCCTGGACTTAGTGCTCTCTGACTTCACTGGTACTGTGACCACCGGTATCTCGCCACCGATAGGAAGGTCAGACCATTGTGTTGTCCACGCTGTGCTCGCTCAAGCCCCGCTAGAAAATGAGCCCAGCACACGGAGGCGTGTGTGGCGATATGGCCAAGCCGACTGGAACAGACTGCGTGCCCACTACCGTCGCATTGCCTGGGCAGCTGAGTTTCCGGAGGACCCAGAGGAAGCATGCAGCCTTGTTACTAGGCACATCGTGTCTGGGATGCTGCAGTTTATTCCCCACAAGATGCTGGAAACAAGGCCGTCCGATCCGAGCTGGTGGACACCAGAATGCACTGAGGCTCAACGTGCCAAAGAGAAAGCATGGAAGGCCTGGCGTCACCAGGGGCCCAGCGAATGCCTGAAGCAGTCGTTCATGGCAACTGTCACTCAATCTATTACAACCCAACATCGTGCACAACAAGCTGAAGAGCAGACAGTCCGAGAGCGTCTCACACGTGGTTCCATGAGAGACAAGGACTGGTGGAGGAATGTCAAGCGCGCCGCCGGTCTGGGTAGGACTACAGACGTGCCAACACTCACTGATGCTGACGGGCACGAGCACAGTACATCGAAAGCCAAGAGCGAGTGCCTTGCTAGATTCTTTGCTGAAAAATGTAGCCTTGGGGATAATGACATCGACAATGCTGAGTTACCAGCAACACCCCGCACTACCACTCCGGGCCTGCAGCGCATCCGCTTCCGCGTCTCTGAAGTCCAACAGTGCCTGAAGCGTCTAAACACATCCAAATCCACTGGTCCAGATGAGATCCCAGGACGAGTACTCAAGGAGTGTGCAGCTGAACTAGCACATCCGCTGGCTAGATTGTTTCGCCTGTGTTTTGCAAATGGAGTCCAGCCACAATCATGGAAAATTGCCCGTGTCGTTCCAGTGCACAAGAAAGGACCCAAATCCATGATGAAGAACTACCGGCCTATATCTCTCCTGACGATCATCTCTAAGATCATGGAAGGTATCATCAATCGGCAGCTTGTGAACCACCTGGAAACCCACCAACTCTTCTCCTCGTCCCAGTTTGGCTTCCGACGTGGACTGGACACAAGTGACCTACTGACGGCTCTCCAGCATTCCTGGGCCACTACCCTGGCTGGCGGCGGTCTTGTGCATGCCCTGGCAGTTGATATTGCGGGGGCTTTCGACAAGGTTTCCCACCCAGGTGTCCTTGCGAAGGTACAGCAATGTGGCATCCACGGCCAACTCCTGGCTTGGCTAAGGTCGTATCTCCATGACCGAAAACTGACTGTAGTTGTTGGCGGTCAGTCCTCCCCACTGTTCCCGATCAAGGCTGGAGTGCCCCAGGGTAGCCTCCTAGGTCCCACTCTTTTCCTGTTATATGTAAACGATGCAGAACAGTGTTTAGCCCCAGGCTCCAGTCTAGCTGTCTATGCGGACGATACAACACTCTATGCCCTAATCAGAAACCCAGATACCATCGCTGCTGCTTGCAATAGCCTCCAAGCATCTATTGACCGCCTGCAGACTTGGGGTGCCCAATGGAAGATAAAGTTCGAGCCATCAAAATCTCAGGCAATACTCCTTGACCGCCACAGACCATCCCTGGATGTCCCACAGCTCACATTTGATGGCATGCAGGTGCCTGAGAGCCCTCAGCTCAAGCTGCTAGGAGTGTTATTTGACAGTACTCTCTCCTTCCGGGCCCACATCCGTTCCCTTGCCGTTAGAGCCAACCAGCGACTCGGCCTGCTCCGAAAGGCATCTCGGATCCTGGACAGTGCAGGGCGCCTAACTGTGTACAAAGGATTTGTACGGCCTATAATGGAGTACGCCCCTCTCGTCTGGGCAAGTGCGGCACATTGTCACCTCCATCAGCTGGACCTGGTCCAGCGTCGAGCCATGAAGGTTATTGGCCCCTCATTGCTCCCCAGCCTGGCAATCCGAAGGCATGTTTACGGGCTGTGCTACCTGTATAAGCTGCAATGCATACCAGGTCCAGCTCTGCTCACCAACATGGTACCTCCCCCAGCAAGAGTTAACGCTGCACCCCGGACGCGCCGGCAACGCCAGTCCCTCGGTGGCCACTCTTTCCAACTCGCAACTCCTCTGCCAGCCTCCAGTCCAGAGTTCATCCGCCGCTCCTTCCCATACTTTGTCCTGGAGAGCTGGAACACACTGCCTGCCCCAATCCTCGCCGAACGCCCAACTCTCAAGAAATTGCCGACATTCAAGACCAAGGCCTACCATCACCTCCGCCAGACCAATTGGCTATGGGCCACTGAAGTCCACCAGCACTGAGAATAACCGGTTGTCTCTATTATTATCATTTTCTGTCTCTCTCTCTCTCTCTCTCACTCTTCCTCTCCTGGGAAGCTCCTCATGCTCATTCTCCCTTTCTCTGTCCATTTCCCCTTCCTGATGCGTAGACCAACTGTTGAACCCGAGACCACTAGGTCGGGGGGAGGTTGACCTACCTCATCGGCACGCATGCCACGCTCCTCTGTGTTGTCAAAGTTCGCTTGTCCACTTTTGTCTACCTCCCCTTTTATGTTGCTGGCCAGTGCTTTGTAGTAAAAAAAAAAAAAAAAAAGAGTACTCTTGGTACAAGCCATAGCGGTTATATATTAGCCGGGGGGAAGAGCAAGATACAGAGTAACCTGTGAGCGGGTGCATGGTGCTGTGTGTGTGGCATTGACTCTAGTATCAAAACAGTCGGTTAGCATCGGGCTACACATCTTATGTAATGATCTATAAATATGTACAAAAAAATAATTGAATCGCAAACGTAAGGAGATAGAAGCTACAGTCCATTCATAAAAAGATGGGTCCTGGCTCTGGCGAGCTCCCGTATTTGGCGATTTTTCGTGATTTCATCGTACACAGTGCAGTGCTGCGAACTTTGATATTTGAAAAAGGGTCCAAAAAGGGTGCCTGAA